AACGGCGATAAGGATAGCAGTGGTGAGCAGTACAGCTCCTAGGGCAGCAGCGTGGAAGTCGGAAGCTGCGAGGGCGGCGGTGACGGTGACAGGTGGAGGCGGCGTAGGCGGCGCGGGTCTGGGCGGCGGCGACGGCGGCGACGGCGGCGGCGGTGACGGCGACGGCGGCGGGCTTGGTGGGGGCGGCGACGGTGGAGGCGGCGAGGGAAGCGGCGGCCTACACGGCGGCGGCGAGGGAGGCGGCGGCAAGGACGGCGGCGGCGAGGGGGGAGGCGGTGACAGCGGCGGCGGGCTGGACGGCGGCGGCGACAGCGGTGGCGGCGGCGGCGACGGCGGCGGTGGTGAGGGCGGTGGGGGGCTTGGAGGCGGCGGCAACGGCGACGGCGGCGTCAGCGGCGGCCAGCTCGGTGGGGGCGGCGACGGCGGTGGCGACAAGGGAGGCGGTAAGCTCGGAGGCGGCGATGAGGGCGGCGGCGGCGAGGGCGGCGGCGGCGATTGGGGAGGCGGCGGCGGGGGCGGCATGCGGCGGCGGCGGCGGCGGCCTCGGCGGCGGCGGCGGCGGCGAGGGCGGCGGCGGCGGCGGCTGCGGTGGTGAGGGCTGCGGCGAGGAGGACGGAGGCAGCGACAGCGGAGGCGGCGACGGCGGCAGTGGGCCGGGCGGCAGCGGCGACGGCGACGGTGGCGGCGGTGAGGGCGGCGGCGGCGGCGGCGGCGGCGAGGTTGGCGGCGGTGAGGACGACGGCGGCGACGGCGGCGGCGGTGACGGCGGCAACGGCGGCGGCGGTGGGGGGCTCGGAGGCGGCGGTGAGGGCGGTGGCGGCTAGAGGGGTGGCGGGCTGGGCGGCGGCGATGGTGGCGGCGGCGAGGGTGGTGGCGGTGACGGAGGCGGCGGAGACGGAGATGTCGGAGGTGACGGCGAGGGCTGCGGGGGGGGAGGGAGGCGGCGGGCTTGGTGGCGGCGGGCTCGGAGGCGGTTGCGATGGCGGCGGCGGGCTCGGCGGCAGCGGCCGTGGCGGGCTTGGGGGCGGCGGCGAGGGAGGCAGCGGTGACGCGGAGGCGGACTGGGCGGCGGCGGCGACGGCGGTGGTGGGCTTGGTGGGGGCAAAGCGACAGTGGGGGTGGCGAGGGCGGAGAAGGCGCCGGCAGAGGGGGCGACGGCGGCGGCGGGCTCGGCGGTGGCGGCGACGGTGGCGGCGGCGAGGGCGCCGGCGGCGAGGGCGGCGGTGGGCTCGGCGGCGGCGGCGGCGAGGGCGAGGGACGCGCCTGAGGTGCAGGGAGGGCGTCAATACTCACAGCACTGGTGGTTCGGCCTCTAGGAGGCGGGCGGCACCCGAGCGGCTGGCGTATTTTCCGGCCAGGCCGACGAGGGTGAAGGCGTCGATGAGCATCAAGCCGCCCGTGGGCCGCGCCAGGGCCGCGGCGGGTCCTGGCGACCCCTCGAGGGAGGCCAGGGTGGCCAAGGCAGCAGCCACAGCCTGGGAGGAAAAGTGCGCCGCCGACGCGCACTTCTCGTGCGGGTCATTCTCGGAGTTGTCGGGGACGTGCGAAGCTACCGCCTGCGAACGGCCGGTTGGAAGACGTCATGGCGGGCATGTGCGACCCTTAAGAACCCGCGTGCGACCAGAAGGTCGGCTGGAGGCGAGGCTGAAGGCAGTCCCAACAGTGGTGGATTTCTGTTGCTGACAGTTAGGGCGATCGTTGCGTGAACTGACGGCAGGCAAGCCGGCAGGTGGGAGGCGGGGATGTGCCGGGTGGATCCCCAAGCGGGCGAGCCGGGCCCGTGCATAGTTCGGGCGCGGGGGGCGCGGGAGCATGAGAAAGACGCACCGACATGCTGGTGGCTACCGGTCTCTTGATTGCCTGATTTTGACGATTCTCGTTGGACCGTCGCTCGGAGCGAAATCCCAAAACCTCTCAGCTCAAAGGGGGAATTTATTTGTTTGGGCAGTGTTCGACCGGGCTAGTGTGATGCGCTAGCCGTCGCCCAAGTCTGATAAAAAAAAATTTTTTTTGATTTTGCCCGCCGCGCCCGGCCAGGGCCCCAGCGCCCAGGGTTCGGACTTTTTGCGGGGTATGGTATGGTACCCTCGCGCAACCCACCTCGAGACCATAGGCTAGTTCCATTTCACTGTGGCACAGCTCGCGTTACAAAACCTTGATTTTGACCATTTGCGCACTATTGTACCTCTCGGTGCCTTCCAGAGGCAGCTGCGACCCCGCCGAGTAGACGGGCGCACACAGCAGGTGGCGCGGTGTGCGCCCGTCCACTCGGCGGGGTCGCAGCTGATTCTGCGCGTCCTGGGGAGGTACATTTGTTGCGCACCGGAGACGACTCGACGCCGCTGAGATCGGAGATCAAGCTCTGACAGGTCACACGTCGCTCCTTTGACGCCGACGTGACTCGCCCGTACAGATCACATCAGGACACGGGCTCGACGCGCTCGGTACGACGCCTGCGACCCGTCTCGGGTCAGGTGGCACGACGCTCATCGCGCCTGCCAGCGCTGCCGTACAGGTTGCCACGACGAGGTCGAGCACGCTTCTATACGCTCGCCCAGCCTTCCTTTCCATCCCATTAGGCAGCCTGGGAACGGTGATGGTCAGAGGCAAAGCCTACGAGGGGTGGTGGAACCACATGTCACGGCTACTGACGGCTCGACCCCACGATAGCCTCCGAAGGCTGACTTTGCGGCACCATCATCGGACGATGTCGACGAGTTGGGTCGCTCTCGCGGTAGCCAGATGACCTCCCATGCTAGTACCATCGGCTAGGGTCGCAGGAAGCGCGGGGGAGGGCGCTGGGAGCAACACGGAGCTCCGTTGGACGTTTTCAAGATTAGCGTGTCAGAGTGAAATGGAACTAGCCATACCCCCCCGCCTGCTGACAGACCCAGCCTCCCGGAGACCGGGGATGGGCGGTCAGGACCATACCCCCCCACCCTTTGGAGAGAGAGAGAGAATTCTTGATACGAAACCACGACGACACACGCCAGTCGACTCGCATCGGTTGCCTCCATGAACGGCGGAGCTATTCTCGCGCCCACACCACACCTGGCTCCAACGTGGACACGCCCATAGCTGGGGACACTACTAGGTCACGCATGGCATCACAGAAGTTTTATCTCTGGGCCCCGAAAGGCATCTCTAGCAGTGTCGTTACACATGCCCCCTCCCCTCCTGGGCGCATGCGCCTCACGTCTCGCCAGAGCATAAGCCCTTGGCGTGTGGCGAGACGAGTTTTTCGCCATCGCAGCGAGCAGCAAGCCGCCCGCCGCAAACAGCCGGAGGCCTCGCCGCGGCACTGGCTGCGCCGCGGTCCCGCACCCGTCGACGCAGCTCCCCCCGCGGAAGACCGCGCGTAGCAACGTCTTGACGATCGAGATGAGCGTGCCTGAAGCTCGCCCACCTACTGCCCCTGAGAGTTGGTTATTGAGTGGGATCAGCTCCCCCCCTTGGGATCGAAGCCGCCACAACCTCACACCCAACATCCCAGGCGGGATCAGAAGGGGACTCCACACCGGACACCGCCCGGGCACAGCCCCCCTACCCGTCGGATCGCACAGAGGGCCCCCTCGGAGCAGCCCACACACAATCACGCATCGGCAGATTGAGTGCCTGAGTCAGGCAGACAGCACAGACAAGAGGAGAGAGAGGAGAGAGAGAGAGAGAGAGGAGAGAGGAGAGGGTGAGGGTGTGTGCACACGTGTGGAGAGGGAGTGTGTCTGTGGTGGGCTGTAGTCGTACTACGTGGTCAGAACCACGCGCCCCTCAGGAGCTTAAGGTAGAGCTGAGCGTCCAAGACGCCTCGGTGCCACCCACCGGCGTGAAGACCATCCGGATCAGCCCAGTACGCCCTCCGGGCGAACGGTCCCCGCGATGGCCCACGGTCCTCCGTCGCCAAGTTGAACCCCCTGCCTCCCGGTTGACCCCCCGGTCCCCGTACTCGACCATGAAATAAACTCAAAGTCCACCACAGCC